ATGCTGATAATGAAACCTCAAACTATGCATACGAGAATTATAGTGCATTCCTTTAACTGAAGTGTTTTTGATAATAGTGCTCCGAAGTAGCTTTAGATGTGATTTACATAGCGAGTACCAAAATGTCTTGGAAATGTTAACCTTTATAAAACTTGTACTCATGATAACTTTTGCTCTGATCAAAAGGAAAGGCATTGGCCGACTGGTATCATGTAGGCGTCTTACAGCAGCGTTATCTGCACTTGAATTCAGAAGTGATCATGAATTCAGGGAAAAAAGTTGTCTTGATTTTTATACATGCGGTCAGCAACCCCTTTCATGCTTAGGACTGGAAGCAAACTGCGTAAGGTTATACCTAGTGTCTCACAAACTCAAAAATTTACAAGTGAAAACGAACATTTTGGTTGTTGAGACAGCAAAACACGACTTTAGCGGACATGCAAATTAGGTAACGAAGACGTCTGACTATTAACAAACGCAAATCACCAGTGAAACACTTAGAAATGTCCTTTATTACATGTCTGACGTAGGCAGGATGGTCTCAGCTACAGATAAGACAGATATCAAAGCCAACTAGAATCAAAAAAGCAAGACAGTCGTTCATCAATATTTTAACAATAATTTCAAGCCGATGCTTCTATATATCTCGATGATTTGGTGCGTCGCCAAGAGCATTTACAACATATACCAGACTTTCATTGCTACGTGTATTCGTTACCAAAGATAACCAGAAAAGATCAGTAACAAGAAACTCGCAGAAAACCAACTAAGAACTTATTGCTCAACAAATGGATTGGTCTTAAGCTGAGGGGACTGCCGAGTGATGTCGCACACCAGGCCCTTGAACTAGGTGTGACGAGTTGGTTGTCTAAGAGTAACATAGAGGTGTTAAATTGATGAGGAAGTAGAGGCTTGCAGGTAGTCACGGAGCCAGCTAAGAGAAGTGGCAGATAATCGGGTGGAATGGAGGTGTACCGCTGAATTTTCATGTTCCACTCGAAATGCAAGAGACGAATAATGATAAAAATATACGCATGATAATAAACATAACTCGGCACGTGCAAAAAACAACATCGCCTTCATATTATAAATAACTTATAAAAGGTGTAAATTGGGTATTGTAAACAAGTAAATAACTATACGTAAAAATAAGACAAGTTCCAATGAAAATTAAGTTATAAGAGTATTAAGTGCATCAAAGCCAAAGACTACTTGAATTAAAACTTATATTCACAGTAATATAAAAATGGAGGTTGAACTAAGCAGTAATTGTTGAGTTTATGGAAAGAGCAACGAAGAAATTTGCTTGGATATAGTTTTATGGGGTTAAAATCTTATTTTAAAATGTGTTAAATGAGGACATCGCGGAAGTCTTAGAATGTGGTGTAACAGGTTGGGGAGACAGATTGATGACTGAAGTCTTATATATCGAATCAACCGGGAATACGTACAATAGTAATGATTCAACACCTATCCTGGATACTTCGAAATCTTACCACCCTCACGACTAATGAGAAAGAACAAGAAATTTAAAACCCGAGTTTCGATGTTGTGTATTTACAATTGGTGCGATTATCAACAAATCTAATTCCGAGCGTCACATAATCGATAACACTGTTTCACTAGGTGATGTGTCATAAAAATATTGGTATGGCATCTCATATTACCGAAGTGTCTAAGTTTTACTCTTTTAATTTTGTATATTTGCTGTTACTGCCATTGTATTACAAACTGCTACACATCCCATCTTGTCCGACTCTAGCAAAGAAATACTATTGTTCTCTCAGTTCGCAACACAATAATGTCAACTCTCGCCGAGTTTCAGTTGCTTGCATTATAAACTAAATGTTGAGTTCATTTTGGTTAAAACTTAGGCATAAAATACGTCAACTTTTGAATGTATCTTTTGAACTGTTTATCTTTCATTTTCAAACTTTAAGGTGTAACATGTAACGGATGTTCACGTAGAGACTTCAGATTTAGACGATATAAGTGTCTTGTGTGCCGGGATTATGATCTTTGTGGAACATGTTTTGATAATCAGCAAGAAACGGACAAACATTCAAGTTATCATCCGATGCAGTGCTTAATCACTAAAGCTGACCACGATATATTCTACTGTGGAGAGGTAAGTGACATCTTTTGATTTTCCAAAATGCTATCACCGTGTAAAAGGATAATTAATTAAATTGGAAAAGAAGAATTAGCAATAGCAAAAGCTCAAAATCCTTCTCAATAGTGTATATGTAATCAATCTTTATGAAGTTTGAAATTCATCACATTCATATTTCTCCTGTATATATCTGTTCATTATAACTCCTACTGGTTTTATTAGTTTTCGGTATCGAATTCAGCCATTTAGACTCACATAGAAACGGCTTCATTTGGTGTATAAGATCCTCTTTAGTTTTCTTAACTTGATTCATAACAGTGTGTATTGATTTCTTAGTTTCCTCCTATGGTCCTGTTTTTATGTATTCAGGTATTCACCGTCTCCAAGTAGTCTGACTTATCTAATATTACTGCTGGACTCCCTTTCTCTGATTTAGTGATTATTCAGTTCAAGTCAAATAGCTATCTTTCTGTTGACGACACTACCACTAATGTCTGTTCTTCAGTATGAGATCCGTAAATACTTCCAATATTCTTTTCTAGTTGTCTGATAAAACATTATTTGTTTCTTTCGGTTTCGTAATCAGTAGATACATAAACAGAGACATCAGCAAGTAGCACCATCTCTTCGTAGTTTAACGTCCCTGCAGCCAGATAATACAAACGACTCTCTCAGTTAGTTTAAGTTCAGTTACAAAAACTTTTCATATACTAGGCCATAAGCTACATTCATTGTATGATGATACCTTCCAGTCGAACTGGCTGAAATAAACGAAGTCGGACTTAAACTAGATACTCTCTGGCTGTATATCAAGTGTTTCAGCCAATGAACCATATTTTCATAATACAATTCATCATGTAGTGGAGATGGTACTAAATGTGTACAGTCACACTTGTGTCTCATGCGCATTCATTGTAGATGCCAGAAATTTTGTTACTCAGGCTCGCTGTCTGTCTCGGTATTAGGAACTAGCGAATCTCCAACGCATAATCAACGACCTTTTGTGTAGATTTAAAATACGTCTTGCTCTCATTTTTGTTCAAATTCATTGTTGAATAACAATGCACCTTTACATGTAGATATATGTCATGTATTTTATCTGTTTATATAAAACTGAGAACAGTAAGAAGCAGTTTACCTATCAGTGAACTACAGTAGTTTGCTTTTTAACATTTTCATAATATCATTCCTTACCACTACAGTTTTACGTTAGTTTCTATCTCTCTTTTAATAAACCTAGCATCAATTTGATTATATATTTTTCAGGGTTCTGCGAAACATTGTGTCCAAAGTTTCACATGTTCAGTTTGTGGTCAGCTGGGTTTCACAGAGTCGTCTTTATCGAATCATGTTTTTTCTAATCATCCAAATGCTGGTGATTCAGAAGTACTTTGTCCCTTCTGTGCAATACACACTGAAGGTGATCCTAATCTTACAACACATGATATTGCAAGTCATTTCAAAAGTGTGCATAATCTATCGCCTTCAGTTAATGAGAAGAGTAAGCTTCTTGATTTTGTTCATCATATTGCCGTGCTTCTTCCATCCTGTTTGTTTATAATCAACATCGCCTTTCCAATGTTTGTTGTTTATAGTTTACAGTTCTTCTTCTTAAGCTGCCTTATTAATTTAACGTCATGGGATCTTCCAGGTACACCGACTTTGGAGTTACAAGTAACTTGGATACAAGCACCTCAGTCGACGAACCTGAAACAACGGGTTGTTTTTAGATGATAGGTCTCTGTGTTTCTCAAAATTTATTTCCGTTCTAAAAGCAATAAGGCAAAAGTAAAGTAGTTTTAAGGTATTTGGGCCAAGGAATTACAATAATTTCTGAATAAGTTACTGGTTTATGGCTAAAATCATGTTTAAAAGCCACTTCACTTGACTGGTAATAACATGTTATTGGATTAGTCACGACCTGAAATAGACCAAACGCATCTGTACTTCGTTTTTTAGTCGTATGCATTGATTTCCTACATTGCTTTACCTTCACATTCCTTCCTGGAAATCCTTTGTGTAAGTGTTATAGGAAGGTTTTTGAGCTCCTTGTCAATCATCTCCATAGAGCAGATTTTCAAAGCTCTAAAACATAAAAAAATTAATAAGGTTATCCTTTCCACTTTAAGTTACCCAATTGTTGAAGTTACTGTATTGTTCTATAGTTGATTGGATTTTGATAGTTCAGTCTTAACAATGAGTCATCCATTGTCTCCGGGTTTAGATAACGTCTAAGAAGTGAAACGTGTAGATAGGTGACCACATTTGAATTGTTTCAGTAGTTGAACAGTTTTCCTCACAAACAAACGTACCATTCATATATTATTTCATGCAAATAGAGATTTAGACATAATCTTTTTCACAGTCAACTATTCGTGAAGACATCAGCTAGGTGAGACATCAAAAGAGACACAACCGCAATTTTATCCTTTTGGTTACAAATCATACTAATAAGTCTATATTGCACCATTAATGTGCATCTCAATATTAACTCCTTCAGATAATCTGTCGGTATTCCAAAGTCCATTTTAATAAAGTCACAGTGATCACATAGAAAACAGACAACTTCTACTAATAGCACATTTGTAAATAAGAAATATCTAGCAAAACAAACGCTTACCGGTCATATTAATTCAATCAATGCAACTGACAAAGTCAAAAGTTTCTGAAAACCTGTTTCTACGAAGATGTGACCTCAGAAATTCGACAAACCATTTCTTTACCATAATCATAGTTACATATTCTTTCTGGTTAACTTCATCCTGCTTCTCTTTCATTATTATCGCTATCAGTCATTGTAACTTTGATTTTTGGCATCATTAGACTGACTGTAAACCTCTAAATACTAATTTACCTCTTTATTAATCCTTGTAATTCATCCAACTCAACTGTACTGCCTTTAAATATCATGTTTTATGTTAACACCCGTTGTCACTTTGGATAGTGTTATTAGAAGACGGAGATTATCTGAAAAGTGTTACAGACTGTTACTGGATAATGTTTCTAGCACAGTTCATCGCTTATAAGCATGTCATTCATATTTCTGTAGTAGTCTGGGCAACATATTTTGCAACTGTCTCACGTGTCGGCCAGTTTTGTTTTATCAGGTGACATTGAGCATCATTGTTAAGCCCCCATACCTCTAACATAGTCAATTTAAAGAAATATGACCACTGTAAAAATTAAGACCGTGATTTTGTCTTACATAGAGATAGGTGATTTCATATCTCAGCTATGAGGCTTTTTACTTATTTAGGCATATCCTAACTCGCGATGTTAATAAAGTGTGTACTAATACTGACGGTTATCCCAGCTGTCATGTTTCTTTCTAAATAACATAAATGCACTAGTTTATGCATGTTAATAAATGTGACTGAGTATGCTGTTGATAAAAACAACTACAACTATTTGCTTGATTTATGTTTATTATTTTTTTGTCTCTACAGATATAACCAATAGCTCATCAGCTGCGGGTTCGCTTATTCCGCGTTTAACTTCTGTTGATAACAAGTGCTGTGATACTGCAAGTCTACGAACTCGACAAACTAGTCAACCACGTGCCCAGGATTTTGGAAATTTCAACTGTGCTAATACCAGTAGTAGCACCGCTACATTCCACAATCGCTTAATTACTGACGAATCATGTCATAATCAAAATAGTGCAAATTCAAGCGGTATAACGTCACAGCCTGTATTGTATAATCCACGTTTCTCTCTTGGCAGTATAGTAACAATGAAAAACTTTTTAAAATCTTTAGAACATGATAACAAAAACAAATATAATGATAAAAATAGACTCTGTGATGAGCGAAATGGTTGTAATAATAAACCCAGCAATAGTAACCGAAATGATGAAGTTCAGAACTCAACTGTTTTGCATCTTGGTCCTGTTGCTAAGGAAACGGATTCACAAAATGCAGATGACAAATCACCAAATGGAGAAACTTTAGAATTTAGAAGTAATAACAATCAAGATTCTGTAAGTACATATTTTGTTCGTTCTTTAATTTTGTAGAATTACCATATTATCTGACAGGACTTCTCGCATCCATTTTACTATATCAGTGTAATTATTAGAAGATAAAAGCAGACAGGCAATACCAATAGAAGATACAGCATTACTGATTAATAATCCCAATTGACACATCTCAAATGCGAGGGAAAGACAAAGATGAAAGTGATTTAAAGGAAAGGTCATGAAGTAATACAAGAAAACGAAAGATAGAGGAAGTAAAGAAAGGTTATTATCATCCATAAATGCATCTGACCCCATGTTATCTAGAGTCTGTAACCGGAGTTTTACACGTTCCGCCGGACCAAGCCACTTAGATTCTTAAGCTAAGGTTGCAGAAGAGGTGCAAAAAGTAGCACTGTAGGAAGCAACTAAATATGAAATTTTAAGTCACTAGTTGGCAACTTTGAAGATTTTGTGTTTCAAAGTTAAATTTTTGTTGTTGTGTCAAAAGGATAGTTTTATTGGACAATTTTCTACTTCTTATAATTGATCACAATGAATTGTCACACCATTAACTTGTTATTTTCGTGAGAATGCATGTGCGTCGGTGGCACAGTGGTTAGGACTCTCGCCGATCATGTACATGGTCCGGGGTTCGATCCCCTGCCGACGCACACCTGATATCTATGGTCGACCTGCAAAATTTTGGCTACCGATATCACATACTGAAAATTCCATACCTGTACCGAAAAATTACGGTGTGGAATCAAGCTGTAATCAAAAATATGATATACTTTTGTTGAATAAAACCTGTCTTTTCTCGGCTTAGTAAAGCAGAAGGCTGTTAGAGCGATTAGTCCTATTCGGTGTTCCCTGTATATATTTTGTGTGCCTTGGTACATACAGTGTTGTTTTGCTCGTGTCGTACTCCACTCAAGCACATTGGACACTTTTTCAATACCTTTATTGTTATATTGAAAGTTGTAAAATATCTTAATGGTTCAGCTGTGTGAATGTAAACGACTTGTCATGTTTTTGTATTTTGCATTATTATAACTTTTGAATTCATATTAAACCAGAAATTTTTTGCCGAGTAATTATATCACATATACTTTTCAGGCAAATGGAAATCAAGACAGTAAACAGATAGACTGTACAACAACAACCACTTCTGTTAGCCGAGAATCAAAATTTATAGAAAATTCAGTTCTTCTTTCCCCTTGTGAAAACGAAAACCTTACAAATCAACAGAACATTTCACGTGCTGACAGCAACGGATATCTTGAGTCATTAACCTCAGAAGTATTAGATCGTAAATTGAATTCCTTATATCCTAGTCCTTCAAAATATTCGAAATCATTATCATATGACTCACATATAAAATCAGTTAATGATGACAAGTTAAAAGATGTTAGCAAAAAGTTAGTTTTTAATTGGTAAGTTTTCGTTTTTCTTAATATAATCATTCAACATAAGTTGAAATAACTTTTTGTGGGTGATTGGTGAGAAATACTATCTTGTTCCACTCTAAATCCCTATTCTTTTATTATGGGCAGCTAACAATAATGATTTGTGGCGATGGTTCTGCAGTGTAACACTCACCAACCACGCACGTGGTCCGGCCCCCGGCCGGTGCATTCATAAACCCCGTTAAGCGGGTAAAGAGAGGAGGTTGGGTGTGAGGATCGCAACCCTACCCGGTAAAAATACGACTACTGCTACCGAAACTTCAAAGCTCTAGCTTGGAGATCTACCTCCTACTCGCAACGAAAAGGAATAAAATCAATAATCATAAAACTACTAATACTGGTAGTCTACGAATTAAAAATACCGTATTTGATGAGAAGTTCTATTTCAACTTTGCAAAATGTTAGCACTGTATAGTGATAAGAAATTATTTCTTGATAAATCTAGCTGTACAGTGAGTGTTTATGTTTCGAATTATCTTGGTAACTATCTGTAACTCTGATCAGCGTCTCTTCTTTTATCCTATCATTAGAGCCGTGAATTCAATAAGGACTACTAGTTTTGTCTCTTTATACTCAGTAGGCAACATTTATCGCCACTACCATTTAAGTCACATCCGACTCAGACGAAAGTTAAGTGCATTCAAAGAATGTACGAAATCTAATAATTATGGAAACTCTAGTGAGACACAGCGAATACGATGAAATGATAGTTCAGTTGGGGTAATTTAATGTGTATCCTCATTTATGTTGTACAGTGGTGTAACAGTTTTGTAATTTCTACCTCATATCCTTCATCTAGTAGATGTGATTCATGTATACAGTACACTAATCCATATACAATCAAACTACTGTTGAATAAAAGAAAATCTAAATCAACAATCTGCTCAGTTAAGTGCTGACGTGATGCATAGTAACACTTTGTGAACTTGGAGAATAGAATGGGGTTCAAAACACTGACTACGTAATTTACTAGTTTACTACTCACCCAGATTAACGATAGCTGAATGAATAATCTGATACTCACTAGCGACTGGCCCTATTCAGGCAGTTAACCTGGGGTTCTAGTGGGAAGCCGTGACCGTTAGGGTGCAGCAGGTTGAAGGTGAGGCAGTAGCTCATCGAAGAAGACATTGCGAAGTGGTCGCGCTATGTCATGAATTTGCAGAAGTTGGAATTCATGTACTGGCCATTGGATCGGGTCCCAGTGATTTAATGGTCTACGAGCTCGCCTTGTAACCAGAAGGTCCTGGGTTCGAACTCCGATGGGTGCGTACCTCTGAAAAGTCCCAAACTAGGACGAAACAGCTGTCCAATACTCCCAGGTTTCCCAATGGTTCTCTAACTGATGTCGGCTCATGATGAAATCCTCCAACGAATATGATTGTTGTAGATGAAATCAGTAATATTCATATAACAGCAGCGTTCATATTTTTTTATTACTTATTTCTAACAATTCAGTTTCATTTTCTTTTCACTGTCATACTTTCTATTTCTGAATTTATGACAAATCACTTTATAGTTAGTACTAATTTAAACGCATTTTCAGACACAAATGAATGATATAACAAATGTACGAATTTGAGCTCACTTCACAGTAGAAAAAATTCAGCGATTAGGAAAATTAACTCATACAGATGATATTGATAATAACATTTGGTAGCGAACGATGAATTTCTTTTATCTTCCCCACTCATATACACTAGACCAGCAGTTAGTAACACCATGGATGAAAACTCATCATACTTCAATTTGGTCATCTTGACGTTTCTTCCGTTTTACGTTAATTCAACTGATAGCATGCTTTTAGACAGTGAACATAAGCATGCATAATAGCTGAAATTCACAAGCTTTTCAAGTTGCAAATCATATCCAATTCCTAATGTAATCATGTTACCAAGATCAAGTTATTTGATGAATCCATTACACAGAGGTGTATTAGCAAGCAAAGTGTACCATCTGGAAATGCCGAGTATGTACTTGATTGTATTCAGTTAACTTGTAACGAATACAATCAAATTTTGGGGCAATGTAGCTGAATCATAAGTATAAAAAAGTTATATAAGTTCCAATGTATAAAAAGTTTTCCACTCGTCTATGTAGGGGTTGAGTAGTAGTAAGAAATCTGTCCTGCGTTTCGTAACTTTCAATGGCTTTTTCAGTTACGATTTGTCCTATTAAATTTATTAAATGTGTTGTTTAATCACCAACTTGCATCTGTTTTCTTTTCTCTTTTTTTTATCCATGTAGTCATACAAATGAACACCAATCAGAATCAACACCAGCTACTGTTCAAGATGATTGGGATATTGACTGGCATATGTTTTTAAATGAATTGGTTTGGAGTAGTCTGTGTAATGCCGACGCTTTTTCGAGTATCACATAAAACGTATATAAAATTAGCTTGTATACAGACATTCATAAGTTACCTAATTTCAAAATAGTCGTCTGTTTGACCTATTTATATACTTTAGTTTGTTTAGCTTATTGCCTTGTACGTGTTACTGCTTCTGTATGTATGTTTAAGTGTATCAGATTATAGTGTCCAGTTATATCTGAATGTATGCATTGATCGAAGACAATTTGAGCTCTAACCACCCTTCAAACATGCTATTTCCCCTTTTGAGTATACTACACGGAACGGACTAAAAGTAGCAATAAATTACACTGCTTTAATGTGTATATAAATATGTGTGATATATTTTTGTTATTACAGCAATTCCATACCTTCGTCTGTCGGACAATCTATCTTTATAATATGTTATACAAGCAAGATTTGTTATTTGAACTAGTATTCTTAAAATGTTTGCGAATGGCTGTAATGGTTACTTATTTTTGTGTCTGTCTGTGTGAGGAACTGATTCCGCATTTTTTCAGTGTTCATCATCATGTGATCGCCTGTTATTGACTTTCAATACTCTATCTCTCTCTCTCTGTCTAATTTCTCTATGATTAATGGGATAAGTCGAAAATAAAAATGGGTGGAAAATACTACCATCTCACTTAAATGTATAAAATAACCCCTGTGTGTTATGCTTGATATGTACACCCACATACCTTAAAATTATTCTTGAATAAAATATCAAATATTTGAAGTGAAATCTTATTTATGTATTTAACTAGTAACTAGCTGAAGGATACACGAAATGATGTACCGTTAAATTTATGTTGGAGTGGTAGGAAAAGTGTCCTGATACCTAGAGAAATTAGTAAATAGTATTCTACTTGTAAATGTGTATGCTACACATGCATCTTCGAAATGAGGTAACAGCAAATCATGAACAAGTTTTAGTTTGAAACTGTCAAAAGAAACAGGTTCTATATTTCGGCATTCTAATTTTATTATTGTGAACCATGTTAGTTGTAAAGCGGTTGTAAAGAAACTACGAAATGATATCATCTCGCGAAATTTGTCTTCTAAATGCCTTATTCAAATTTATCAAAGGGACTAATTACTTTAGTTCTAATTTACTATTATTGATTGGTGTAGTAGTGCTACTGTAACGACAGAATACAAGGACCAGGCAACAGATCATTTATTGAGAAAATCAAGAGATATTTATAGATTTTTATGTACATTATTATTCGTTATTGTTAGCAGAGAAGTAACGTCTTCTGATTGGTTGTTTTCCTGGTGAAGTGATATATCTGCGAATCGTATCCGCCCACGTTAAGTCTGCTGTGATTGGTTGTTGAGTTCATCAAGGTTAGGCTTTATTCTTGTTTTTTCTCATGACCCCGATTCGGGACGTAAACATTGACGTCAATTGTTGTCTACAATTTTGTCTTGCAGACAGCTCTCACCACACTACTACTACTACTACTACCAATAAGTGGTATTGCGCTGAAATTATCAGTTACTCATAAGCATTACGTATATGTTACGCGGAATCTTCGGATACCACACATGTAACTTCTTGAAGTGTGGAATTCACCCATAAACTAAATACTGTAATACACATGTAAGTAGTATGTCCACACTTAAGAAGTCACAGCTGCTTAGTGGATATTTTCCGTGCTGTATGGATATTAATGCAAAACACTTGAGAGTTTCTGATTCATAAAGCGATGCGTTATATGCTTACTATATATTCTTGTGAGATCATACAGAATGGGAGCTTTGTTAAAATAAACTATTTGTTTCCATATAATAGTCGAATACTAGTTGGTACGATCAGTTTTCGTTAATTCATGAGTTTGTTTTGTCAGAGATTTTGTTAATTTCAAGCGTAGACAACTAGAGCATGCAAGAACACGTGCCCACATCCAAGAGAAACCAGGACCCATTTTATTAAGGGTAATTTTAGGCGATACTTCAAATAATACATCGAAAGTCATAGTAATGAAATACTTTCACATGCATAAATACAAGACAGAATTAGTAAATAGTAAGTATCATTCTCTCATCTAGTGCATAATACTTTTTGTGAAGATGTCGTTTAATGGCTTGAGCAAATCGACTTTAAGTTAACGGGTTCCGGATTCGAAACCTGCTTAACCCTAGATAACTGGCTCTTACACACTAAGTGTGGCTCGTAGCGTGGTACACTGAAAAACAAATAATCAGATCAGGCATTAAGGTCGAGTAAACTAGTTAAATAACCCACAAAAGTTAGTGCACAAATCAAAAAGATAACCAACTGAAATGAAGGTCAAGAATTGCAAGAGAGAAGTAAAGATGGTTCACATACTAATACTGGACAGGTAGCGCGATTCACATATGTAACAACCTGTGGCTAGAATTCGATATGACAAAACTTAGGCAAAGAATATCCAGGATATTATATATATATATAACTCGCAGCAGGACTATCGTTTTTATCCAAATAGTTGTGCCTATTTTTCATGGTCGTTAAGATCAGTAGTGATACATCACGGTTGAGCTATTTAATTGACCAAACTAATTGTTCGGGTTTTAAAGGATTTGAACTTTGTTGTAGACCTAACTGGATAATGTGTTTAGTTCACAAGCCACATTTATGCCAGACGAGTGAAATAGTTAGCACTCGTCAACATATACTTTAACCCATGTTAGTGATCAGTTTTACGGACAAAGATGACCTTAGCCTGAAAAAACCTTATGTTCGGGAACTGAACTACTAAAAGTTAAATTGGTCAGGAGATTTAGTGAACACTTCAGTCTTAAACCACTTTCAAAACACTGGAACATAATCATTTGATACTAAGGAAAATTTAATACTGCAAACCAGAATTAGTGTATTAAAAACCGATTCCTGTGGATGATATATCCAAGGTTACATTCCAGTGTGGCTACGCCTTATGATTATGGAAGTAGATGACTTTGCCACCGTTACTTCAGCAGTATTCCAATGGCAGTATATATTTCTAGGTAAAGCTGCAAATCAATTGGCGGTAAGTACTCACTGATAAGTAAAGCAGAGTAGAGTGAAAGTTATTTTTTCAGGTCAGTCAGAAGATTTAAAGTAAACGGATCAACACACGACACTAATTTGTCATATCAAAGCTGATTGAGGAACTATCGAGTTTCTAATAAAGCCAATGAACAACAGACTCGTTGGAAATACGAGTTGTCGATGAGCATGCATGCCCGCCCATATTTCGAACATCTTACTTATATACGTTCTATCTTCTTTCGTATGCTTATTTCCACTGGTGTTTTCTTACTGTCACATACAGCAAGTGCCTAAATGACTTACAACACTCTAAGATATTGGTATCGGTCTATTCACTATATGCGTCATTTCGACAAATCATTGTCAACTACTGCTCTCTTTTTGATAACTGAAGTTATTTCATTACCTATAACCGTCTATTACTTTGGACGTAAAAATACTGTGTGATACAATAAAAGTACGGATTTATTATCCAAAGCAAACGTGGCTTAAGCACTCTGTTTTCAGCCAGGTCTTAGGTTCGAATCCCACCCCAACTTCTTCAGCCTGAACAACTGGGTAGTATCATCTACCTTCATAAAATAATTGTGTGGAACGCTAAAGATATGCTTTAGGTAACGAAGTTTAAACAAACAGCTGCATTGAAATCTCCGAGGCAGTAAAATTCACAGATAATGCGTTTAAACATACAAACAAAAACTGTTCTGACTTTATTCGCTACAGAACTACGGTTTATACATGATTCTCTAACACGCTTATCATATAAGCGTCTTTTATGCACTGGTGATGGTTACATCCACTAAAATTTTTTACGAAAGGACATAAGTTCTTAACCCCATGAATAAAATCAACAGAGACAAATATCAATAAAAATGTTTTATCTAAGTAAAATACAAGGAAACTAGACATTTCCTAAATTCATTACAATTACAAACAATCTATTTTTCAGATCTGAAGAAACCTTTCTCAAAAGCTTCAGGTTCAATTTTATATACAGAGTACATAAGCATTGAAATTGTGAATACTTGGCCCAATGGACGTAGTATCAATAAACGCTGGAGTTCTTTGCCTTTGGCGTAATAACAGCGAGCAAGCACACCCCCCGTGAAAACAAAGCCTGAAACGAAAATTTTCCGAAAATTTCTGCGTATTTCTTACCCACAATAATCAGTGGATTTGCCTTAACCATCTGCTTAAGACGGTTTAATCCTGTAGGCCTGTCGGGATTTTTATCGCGTAAAGGATTATTCATATTAAAAATTCAGACGTAACTTAGACTATTAGAAACAACTCTCCTGGCATAAAGGACCTATAACACAAAAAATACTAACGATTAGTAAATCTCTTTCAGATTCTTTTTGAAGGTAAAATAAACACAATACTAACTGCTATTAATTATTAACATCAAGTTAACTAACATGATTTAAAACAAGAGCTACTCAGTTTAAGTTAACTAAATTCAAAACAATGTATTAATAAATTTGACAACAAGAATAGGAACGAATAAACTTTGCGAATGCTTAAAAATACACTTATATCGAGAATTCAACAGAGTTTCGGAAGAAGGTAAGACATGAATACATTTTGTCGAGAAATATATTGATTTGCAATAGTAATGATTTGCTTTATTCCAGAACAGTACTTATAGTAGTGAGGAATTCTCAAAATTCGGTACAACATTCCATCTAATTTGCTCGACAAAAGTAGGAACACAAATAACATTACAGACTAAAGGTAGCTACAGTTGATAGTAGCAGCTTCTTGGTATTATTAGTGACAAATAGAAGACAAAACAGTCATTTATTTCGCTAATCACACTTAACACTATCGCATAGAACGTAGGACAAATAGGGTATCACTGAGTTTATGTACTTAGTTGTACGAGCATATAATCTTTTATACTGACCTAGGTTCTACCTGCTGAGATGCAAAGGGGAAAGTTGCGAATGGAGTGTTCAGATTCAGACAATATAAATTTAGACCATTCCTCACATGGATTCACGTGTCTGTT